AGTGCTGGGATTACAGGTGTGCCTGGCAAGAAATAAACTTTCTTTTGTTAAGCCAGTGGATTGGTCTGGTAGAGTGTATCAGGGACCACAGCCCTGCCCACCCTACTAGCTCTTTCCCCGGGGTAACCCAGAAACCTCGGCAGACTCCCTAACCTCACCTGCTCTGAGGTAACTTTAACGTTTAATGCTGGAGGTCGCGTGCTTGCCAGTTACTGCCCCAGTCAGGTCCGGGAGTACCAGAGTCACGGGGGGCTGCCGGCCTCGGCATCCCTGCTTGTGTGCAGGACAGCAGCCTGCCGCTGCAGCGGGTCCAGGCCACCCTGTGCCTGCCGGTCTCTCGATGCGAGTAGCCCAGCGTGACCCGGGTAGAGGGGGCCGGACCTGGTGCCGCGTCCCCCTGGGGAAGCCACGCCCTCCTCCTGCAGGGTGTGGGCCGGAAGCACAGGCTCTGGAGGGAGGGCGAGTCCTGACTCCTCCTCAAGTCCTTCGGTCCTGCGACCTTGGTTTAACCCCAGGGGCAGCATGCCCACGTGGGTCCTCACGCGCCTGGAGGCAGCGGCCGGCAGCACGGGCGGCGTCTCCGAGCGGGGCTCTAGCAGCTCCTGGGCGGCACGTGCGCTGCGGGACCCGTGGACCCGCCCCTGGCGGCTCTTCCTCTGGAGGAAGCCGTGGGGACCCCGGGGCCGCCGAATGTGTGCGATCTGCGTCCCGCAGCCCCAGTGACATCGGCTGCAGCCTCATGAAAGACCTTCCAGGCTCTGGAATTGGCCACCGCGGACGCTGGGGGAGGACGGCGCGGTCGCCCTCAGGGTGACGAGGGTTCTCACCCTGAAGAGCTGCTCTGTCTGGAAGCAGGACGAGGGCTCTGGGCTGTGACGGGGCGGCTGCCTGTGTGCCCCCTGCCCGCGCCAGCGGTCCCCCTCCTGCCCCAGGGGTTCCTAGTCCCCCTCACCTGGGTCCTGCTCCCCCAACCTCGACCTCGGGTCACAGTGGAGCAGCCATGTGATATTCCGGCTCTTGCATCTGATTTACTTCACTTAGCATTGTGGTCTCAAGGTGCATCTGTTTTCCTACAAACCACTCAAGTTCATCCTTCTTTATGGCACAGTAGTGCTCCATGGTGTGTGACTGCCACATTTTCATTGTCTGTTAATGGACACGCAGGGCCGGCTGAAGGTCGGGGAGTAGTAAGTGAGCAAGCGGTCAGGGACCCCGCTGTGTGCACGGGGAAGGAGGGGGGGAGTCTCCTTTGGCCAGTGGGGGACAGTGAGGCTCAGGGAGCTGAGCAACTCACCCCAGTCACGAAGGTGCCGAGGGGAGCGAGGCGGAGCCCAGGCCCGTCCTGCTGTGACATCAGCGGCATCTTGTGCTGCCGCGACAAGGGGACAGGTTTAAAATAGACAGCCTCTGGGCCGCCAGCCCCCGTGGGTGCAGGGAGGGCTGGTTTCGTCCCCTTTTAATGCTCCTCTGCAGTGACCCCTGACTGGGCCCTCGCTGGTTGTCCACTCGAAGCACAGGGCTTTGAGTGCTGTAGCCACCTCTGGGGCAGGGTCACAATGGCTCTGCGGACGGCTGGGTCCTGATCCAGGTAGCCCAGGGCTGTGGGCATCTCCAAGGCCACCCACGGCCACAGGGCATCAACTTCTACCCATTCCCATAGCTGGGCTGGTTCCCACTGATTCTAATTTGCATTTCTCTCATGGTTAAAAGTGTTGAGCATCTTTTCATGTGCTTACCTGGAACTATCTTTTTTACTTTTTTTGGTTTCTTTGAGACCAGGTCTCACTGTATAGTTTAGGCTGGCCTTGAACTCACGGCGATCCTCCTGCCTCAGCCTCCCAAGTGCTGGGATTCCAGTGTGCACCACCACTCCTGTCTCCACGATGTTTAAAAGTGTCAGTTGTAGGTTTTACCTGTAGATCTGTGGACCATCTGGAAAGCTTTTTCTGTGTCCAGGTTTCGGTTCATTTGCTTTGGCAGGGCTTGCACCGCTGGGTGGAAAGACAACCTCTACCCAGGCCCAGAGCCCAGGGCAGCACCCGCCTCCACCCTCGGTTCCGCCAGCCTTCTGTAAGCTGGGGTCTGCGGGGTTTCCTCACGGGAGGCTCGGCCCTGTCCTCCGCATCGGCTTCGCAGGGCTCCACCAAGGACAGCCGCCTTCACGGGCCGTGCCCACCTGGGGCCGGCTGACCTTTCCGAGGGCAGGTTCCTTGCCCACCCCTCTTCTCGCGCTGTCGCTGAGGCGCCAGGAGCACCGGGACCCGAGTGGGCAGGTGCCAGGAGCCAGCGCCGCTCTGCGGGCACAGGGTTGGGCGGGGCCCCGGGTCTAGAGATGCACCCCAAAGGGCGCGGGAGGGCGGGCGGGATTTTACTTCAAACCCTCCAGTGGCGAGAGCGAGGCGAGGGGAAGGAGGGGAAGCGAGCTGGACATCCCGGCCATCCGCAGAGCTGAGGAGCCGAGGGCGCACAGACCTTGTCACCCCGGCCCCGTCCCCCACCCGTGCATGCCGTCCCCGGCCGGCGCGAGCTGCCGGGCGCGTTTTGAGACCGTGTGCGTCTGCGGTGAGGACCCGCTGCTCCCTTCTTCCTCCTTCCTCCGCTTTTCCGAGGTTGGAGGTGCATCCCCACCTTTGCCGGGGAGCCTGAGACCTACAGCTCGAACCCCTCCCTCACGTCCTGCTCTTCCTCCTCGCGGCCACCAGAGGGCGCCAGGATCCAAGCGGCCGCTGTTCTTGGTGCTGAATTCTGTCCGCAGGTGGAGCGCCCGAACATCAACGAGGTGGTGCGGATTTTAGCAACCGCTCGGGGCTCTCACTGCGCGTTAGACCTGCTACTGTGACCGCTCGCGATACCCACCCATCATGTCCCTGTGTCACGAGCCTCGGCAGCGCTCTCCTGGCGTAGGGTAGGAGATGCGACATCTCCCCCAGCTTTGCCTACCTGGTGACCTTACACGTCCTGCGGCCACTCTTGACCTCGGCCATGGGCTGACACTGAGGAGTCGGATGTGTCCTCAGAGCTCTGCAGCTGGCAGCTGGCACGTGTCCCTGGGGCCCAGTCAGGGACAGTCATTTTTTTTTTTTTGGCACCAGGAATCGAACTCAGGACCTTGCACTTGCCAGGCGGGTGCTTGTGCTGCTGAGCTCTATCCCCGGCCAGGACAGTCATTGTGACGGTTCCTGCATAGCCACAGGCTGACCCTGTGGCCCGGTCCCTCCACCTCTTCAAGCTTCCAGGGGACAAGAGGACCGGAGCTGGAGCACTCGCCTCCCACAGCCTCCTGCCACCACTCACACCGCCCTTGAGAACTGTATCCAAGGTGGACATTTCCTCTCGACCCAGGCTTCCGTCCTAGTGTGTTCAGTGAACCCCTGTGACGGTCGCAGAGGGCAGCAGCCCTTGGCTTATCGTGTCCAGTTTATAGTGAGAGAAACGAGGTCCCAGAGAGCAAAACCGCTGGGCCGAGCTGCCCCAGGCAGCGGACGTGCAAACACTCCCGGAGAACCGGGGGCCCAGTGAGTGGCGTCCACTTGGGAGGGAAGCCCGTCCTGGCCCAGCCCAGAGCTCCTTCCTGCGAGCCCAGCTCTGCGTCCGACACCCGTGTGCAAGGCGCCTGGCTTCTCCCCCTTGACTTGGGACGGTAGTTTTCCATCGTTGGTTTCCTGGGACATTCCTGGAGAGTTGTGCATCTCTAGAATTTGATTCTGTT